TTTTTTTTTTTTTAAAACTGGAAGTCAGGTGGCCCTGGCGTTTTGACGACTGAGTGGAAGGTAGGACCAGAAAACACTGCCGCTGAGTATAAGGAGCCCCTCCCCCCCAAACTCTTCCCCCGCTGCTGATCAACGACGTTTGGAACCGGTACCCCGTCAACCGCATTTAAGTCTCAGCATTCGGTTGTCACCTAGCATCTACCGGGTTGGTGCTGTTTTCTCCATCTGCTGGCTGTGGACGTTGAGGCGGAGCCAGGCTTCAGTCCTCCCTTAGCCTTCCAGAAAAAAAAAATGCTAGAGATAAAATCGACACTATCACTTGCTTTGAGCTGTTACCCTCGGGACGTTTTCAGGATTACTGAAGCAGGCTAGAACAACCGTGTGCAACAGTCGTGAAGAACAAGTTCATCATGAACTCCGGAGGAGCTCAGAGTTTGTCCTTAAAAACAAAACCCCAGGTTAATCTGGAAGAGCCTTCTAGGTTGATGGTAATTTGAAAACCTGCATCTAATTTTACTGCTTTCTGAAATCTCATCGAAATTACAGGGAAGGATGTTTGTTTTCTTTTTTGATTTTGTTTTGTGTTTGGTTTTTTGAGACAGGTTCTTGCTCAGACTGGTCTCAGATTTGCAGTGATTTTATTTTTTCCAAGTACTGAGATTATAGGCATACCCACCCAACCTGGCTCCCCCTCCTTTTTTTGGACACTGGGATAGAAACTTTGGGAAATAGAGCAGTTGAATAATGAACTCTAAGAAGCAGAGGCTAAACCAGCAGTGAGCAGACTAGTAAGCTAGTCTGAATAAATCATAACGTTCAGAACACACAGAAACTGGCAGCACTAGATAGAGTTGGAAGTGGGTAGAGGTGGAAGACTTAGGAAGTGTTAGGTTAAATCTTTTTAAGGAGTAGTGGTATATTTAGATTCCTTTTTCCCTTTCACACTCTTGAGTGCTTATGTCCCTCATGATTAGAAGACAGGAAGGAGGCTTATTTTGACAAAAATAAGGGTTTGGGTTTTTTTGTCTTGTTTTGTTTTTTTTTTTAATTTATCTTATTTTATGTGCATTGGTGTTTTTGCCATGGGTGTTGGGTTCCCTGGAACTGGTGTTACAGGCAGTTGTGAGTTGCCATGTGGGTGCTGGGAATTGAACCCAGGTCCTCTGAAAGAACAACCACTGCTTTTAACCATTGAGCCATCTCTCCAGCCCCCTTGTTTTGCTTTTTTGTGTTTGTTTTGTTTTGTTTTGTTTGGGGGGGGGGGAGTGGGTGGTGGTGCAGGCCTTTAATCCCAGCACTTGGGAAGCAGAGGCAAATGGATCTTTTGTGAGTTTGAGACCAGCGAAGCTTACCAAGCTAGTTCCAGGACAGCCAGAGCTGTTTACACAGAGAAACCCTGTCTCAAAAAACAAAACAAAAAAGAATTTTTTTAACTAGAGAATCCAAGACAGGTATTTGTAAAGATATATTTATGAAAATGAGGGGCAAAGCCATAATTTCTTTATCTACTTCTCTTTCAACTTCCAAAACTTTAGTTCCCAGATTAATAACTTCCAGACCCAAGACAGTGGGGCTGGGATGAACAAGACAAGGAGGAAACACACACACACACACACACACACACACACACCAGTTAATGGTTGCTCCTGGCAAATAGTAAGGAATTTAATAGTAAATTAAATGCAAAGAGACCTCACTATTTACATTTTTATGTTTTTAAATTTTATACTGGGAGATTGGGAGATGTTTTGACTGATAAAATACCAGTTGTAAAAGCTGGGAATATTGTTGTTTGATCCCCAGCATCCATTTAGAAACCAGGCCTAAGCTGGATGAACCCATAGTAACTAAAGCTTATTGGCTAGCCAACCAGCTTACACAAATTGATGAGCTCCAAATTCAATGAGAGACCTTATCTTAATAAATAAGAGTAGTAGAGGAAGACACCTGATGTTTACTTCTGGCTGACACATGCAGGCACACATATATGTGCGCTTGCACATACATACAACACAAAAGGTTGATAAATGTATGTGCTGCCTATTATTAAAATGAAAAGTAATTTTTTAAAATTATGAACAGATTTGATGTAGCATTTCCTCTCCTGTGATATTTTCTTACAAATATACCTATAAGTAGATATGCCTGTAAGTATAATATCACCTAGAAAGAGTCACAAGAAGCAAGTAATACCGGTTTCCTTGAGAGGAGTTCTGAGTGCAAGGCAAAAGTGGAATGAGTCAATATTCTTGGTGTCTTTTGAGCTTTGAGCCATATTACTGTGTACCTAGTTAATAAACAAATGCCAGTGAAGGCCTATGGATGATAATGGAAATTCTGGTGCAAAATGATACGCCAAAAAAATGAAAGCTCTCTTAAAATGCAAAGGAATGGATACTGAACAACAGTCACAAAAACTATAGTTGCTTACACCCATTTGTACATAATGGTTCTTCAGATCAGTTGTGATTTAGACTGATTTCCAGGCTTTAATTTGACTTCAGAATTGCTCAAACTGTCTTCATTATGGAATTTTTGCTGAAAATGAAGAACTTCCTGGGATAGTTTTTCTCTATGGTTCAGGGTGAGATTCAGTGCTAAATTTCTAGGGATTTGCCATAGCTCAACTCAGAAGTGGCACTTTGAAATGTTCCAGTAACCAAACCCTGAGCCAGTAGGATCACATGACAAAGACTATGGTTACATACTTCTGTGGAAAGGGGGGAATGAAATGATGAAAATGATTTCATAGCTGCAGGGAAATTAAATTAAAAATGGTCGAGATTATATGGAAAAAGGAATGATGAAGAAAATTATTTAGTAGAGATATAGAAATTAAGTTGGAGTAAGAATGAAGATTCTTTTTGTTTTTTTGAGACAGGGTTTCTCCGATGTCCTGGAACTAGCTCTTGTAGACCAGGCTGGCCTCGAACTCACAGAGATCCACCTGCCTCTGCCTCTGTAGTTCTGGGATTAAAGGCGTGCGTCACCACCGCCCAGCAAGAATGAAGATTCTTATAAATATATATTCTTATAAATATATTTCAGAAATATTTTTGTAAAGGTACAGCATCCTATTTGGAATGAACTATTTTAAGGCCTCTGCATCAAAGTATCCCATTTGCTTTATCTTATACCAGCTCCTGTAATTAGTTTTGAGTACCCATAAAAATCTTGAAAGTGATACAAGAGTAAGTAATAAATATAGATACCAGTTTATAGAAAACTAGTTTCTGGTTGTGTTTATTTCAGCTTTTGAATGTGCTCATTCATAGTTTTGGGGTCATTTCCATGTCTGACAACTCACCTTTCACAACAGAATCTTCTTTTCAGGGAGATGTCATTTGCTTCTTGGATGTAATGCACTTTGTGTTTATTATTCAACAGTGAAAATGAGTCATACGGAGGTAAGATAGTATCATGTGTTCTGTATCTTAAGATTAAACTTTTGGGGAGATGGGGAAATGGGTTAATCATCAGTTCTGCGTAATAGTCTTATTTTCAGTTTGCTGGTGAGAGGCAGTACAGAATTAGACTTGGGGAGTAAAAACTGTGTAATCTTGAGCAAGTTACTTAATCTGTTGTGCCTTATCTTGGAAGTAGCAATAGTACTTTTCTTGTTTGTAGAATTATAAGGAATGCTTACAAGAGTTGATGCATAGCACTTAAAGCACCTAACAGTAAACACTTCTTAAATACTATAAATATCATGACTTGTTTGGAGGCCATGAGTCTTACAAAACAAATACATGTATTTATTCAGTTGTCTAAATAGTCAAGGAAATAATTTGATCCTTTTATTCTCTTGAATTTTAGGTTAAATTAAAAATACCTTTTGGAAATAAATTACTGGATGCCGTTTGTTTGGTACCTAACAAGAACATAGCATATGGAATAATTCTTACACATGGAGCATCAGGAGATATGAATCTTCCTCATTTGATGTCACTGGCATCCCATCTTGCATCTCATGGGTTTTTTTGCCTAAGATTTACTTGCAAAGGCCTTAATATTGTACATAGAATTAAGGCATATAAAGCAGTTTTGGTAAGAAAAATATATTTACTTGTAACAAGGTTCTGCCTAAAATTCTTCATAAATTTAAGGTACTTTGTTATCTAATTTTGGATAAAAATAATTTCTAATTTCCTTAGAAACGTGGCAGTGCACATAGGCTATTTAGTGTTTATGTTTCTCTTTTTGTCATCAGTTTGCTTTCATTGAGATGAAGGCTCACATCGTCGCTGTTCTTTCGTGCTGCTGCCAAAGAAGCTACATAGAATTTTCTCACTGGGATAATGTGACCTTAGAATATAGTTATGCCAATCTAGATTATTAAACCTACTGTACTATTAGGCATATACAAATATACCACCATTCTATGCTAGTATTTTCATCAAATTTGAAACTTCTACTAGCTTTTAAAATATAATTCTTTATCAAGTTTACTGTTTACCACTCTAGTTGGAGACACGTACTTGGGAGACTAAAGTCTCATGCAGTTGCTAACTTTATTTAGAGTTTCAGACAACTTATACTCTGAGAGTTAAGAATTGCATGAGTAAGGTGTTTGGTTACAAGGACAAACCGCATATGGCAAAAGTATGTTTTTCCTTATAGCGGCATATAAATAACAGCTGACGTAAACTCCCCCCTAGCCAGTACACCTGGGAGGAGCATAAAAACCCATTCCAGAAACAATTTTGTGTTTTGGAGAAACTGAGGTTACAAGAATCTAATCGTATTTTCTTGGCGTTTTCTCACAAGCACTCAGAATTCTCATTTGACTCCATTCTTGGACTATGTTCCAACTTCTCCCCATTTTTATTTTTTAATAGAATATCCAGAGTGGTTTTGATTTGAGATGTTTTAGGTAAATCTAATTGTCATTTGATTCATAAATTTATAAATTGTTAAGTATCCTGTAAACAAACAGATTATAACAGAATGGTAGGAACATTGGAATTTTCTGCCACCAACAACAGAGATTCAAGCTGGCCAGTACTATTAGTTACAGTATCATTGATCAGGAAATTCTGAAGAATAGCTTGGAAAGAGACCCATATGATTAATTGTTGACATTGAGTCCTGCCTTTATTTACTAATTGAACTGGAAAAATAGGTAAATATTTTATAGCCCTTATGGTGCAAATAATCCAAAGGATTATCCTCTTGTGCTATAATAGCTATAGGAGACAATTTAGTGGGGAAAATAAGTTTGAAGGCAGTGAAAGAATCCACTTGATACATAAATGCTTTTTTAGTCTAGATTCAAATAGCTGTAGGTTCTTCCTTTGCCTCTGGAAATTATGTGTGAGGACTGTCCAATGCCGTCTTTCCTTCTAGAGTTTTAAATAGATTAGTTAGTGTGTAATTAGGTAAGAATTTTGATTTTGCTGAAATTGGCACAGGAAGTACCAATCGACAGCTCATGAGGCCAGGGAGAAGTCAGTAGAGGTATTACTTTTTCCACCCATACTCTAGCTTGCCTGGGTTGTAAAGTTAGCTTTTTCATAGGATCTCCTAAATTCTCACAAAAAATAGAGATACTTCAAGATTAAATCAGTTACCATATTCCTCACCCCATACTTCAAGGTCGTTTTTCATACAATGGAGGATAAGTGTTTAAAGGAGGCTCCAGTAAGGGCGCTGAGGCAACAATTCCTGGCATAGGTGTCACCATTTCTATTTTTTATTTTATTTATTTATTTATTTATTTATTTATTTTTACTGCACAGGGAAAACTTCCTTCTTTGCCTCTATCAATTTTAAGGTCTAACTATTCAGTTTATATTCACTCAAGGAATTATTCATTTCTTTATCATGATTAATATCTTAAGTATTCTAATAACAGTTGAAATCAATGCCCATGTGACCCCAAATTAAACAAGAATCTTTTACTCCTTGTTAAATGCCTTTATAATATTATTTTAGACTTTATCCCATACTACTTCATGGTTTTCCTTCTTCTGAAAACCAGGATTATAATCATAACCAACTTGCAAGCAATCAAGTAGTTGTGATTTTAATACTTGCGGTCATTATTTCTTTAAGAAATGATGCACAATTTGGCATACAGCAAAGTCTTCCCTAGTTTCTGCCCCATTTTACTCTCTCATGGCTGACTTCAGGTCCTTCCCTGTTCGGCTGCCACTTGTTTACCACTATGGAGGTGGTGAGATCTGGGAGAAAGCCATTAAATTTAGACAGACAAAAGCCTTATACAATAACCAACTTTGTTTAGAGCATCAGATGATTTATATTTTGCGTGTTAAGAAAAGTCGAATCACGTGAGTAAAATGTTCAATCACAAGAACAAGACATGTTGCAAAAATATGTATTTCAATAGAGGCATGTGAATAACAACAGCTGAAGTAAACTCACTCCTATCTGCTGCACCTGGGAGACCCATGAAAACAGTCCAAGAACAATTCTGATTTGAAGAAACTTAGGTCACAGTACTCGTTTTGAGTTTTCTCACAAGCACTCAGAATTCTCACATAGCTCCATTCTTGGACTGTGTCCCAATAGTTTACTGCTTGAATATTTTTATGAAGGTAAATTTATTTTTCCCTAACATATTAGCTGACATAAGGATTAATAGTGAACACATGGTCAGAAGAGGAAAGAACTGTATCTCCGCTAAATTATGTCTTTGCATAAATTTTTGTATATATCAGTAGTGACAAGACTATCCAGTGGAGTATGATATGAAAGGAACTGATAATTTTTTTCCTTTACCTAGAATTACCTAAAGACCTCAGGGGAATACAAACTTGCTGGTGTTTTTCTTGGAGGTAAGCTTTAGCAATAACTTCATTATAAATATTAAGACTGTTAGCAGGAGGTTAATTTAAGAATTAATTTATTTTAGCTGGGTGATGGCGCACACCTTCAGTCCCCACACTTGAAGCAGAGGCAAGCAATCTCTGTGATTTTGGGGCCAGGCTGATCTACAGAGCAAGTTCCAAGACAGCTAGGACTGTTAAACAGAGAAACCCTGTGTTCAAAACAAATTATTTTGTTTTAATACATAACCTTGATACTTTATTAAGCTTTATATGCTTAAGGCATTTATGTGTTAAAATATAAATAAATATAAAATAAGATTCTCTTATTCATTATATTTTATTACTCTTGCAAATGATTCATTGAGAGTTTCTTCACCCTTTTAAGTATTGAGAAAAATAATTGTTTCTTTTTAAAATTTGGGGTAAGCTAGATTAATTTTTAGCTTTTCATAAAGCTATAAGATTCCATTAAAACCATTGGAATTTGTTGCTTGCTGCTCTTTTGAGTTGTGATTTTTTTTCTCTGTAAGAATGAAGAACAGCAAAGCTAATTTTACCATACCATCGCTACTATTGTATGTAAATATTTATCTTTCTAATTGAACGTAATTGGTTTTAGGTCGTTCGATGGGCTCAAGAGCAGCTGCTTCTGTAATGTGTCACACTGAGCCAGACGACACTGATGATTTTGTTCGAGGTCTCATTTGTATTTCTTACCCACTGCACCATCCAAAGCAGCAGCAGAAACTCAGGGACGAAGATCTCTTTCGTATAAAGGATCCTGTACTGTTTGTGTCAGGCTCAGCAGATGAAATGTGTGAAAAGGTGAATTGGAACTCCGTATTTGTATGAGTAAACTATTAGAGGCAAGATTATTACCTGCCACATTCAGCTTTTGGACATGGTGACTCACACCTTTAATCCCAAACTCAGGAGACAGAGGCTGGTGGATCTGTTAGTTCAAGACCAGCCTTGAATATAGGGAGTTCCAGGTCAGCTGGGGCTACATCCACCCTGTCAGAAACAAGATAAAAAATGCTTATGTCTAATTTAGTTGTGTGTCTTTGTTATCCTGTAGCTTTGTAGCACATAAAAATAAAAGCATACTAATAAAATGGATCTCCCTAGAAAGGGATTTGGTAAATAGATTTCATCCTTATTTGAAGGATTAATAATATCTGATTGTTATGACTTGGGAGATACCAGGGTATACAATTAGTTTATCATTTCAGCTTTGTGGCAGATCGTTATTGTCTCTCAAGTAAGCGTTAGCAGAATTCATATATTAGTGAATATTAGCTAAGTATTATGAACTGCTGTTTTCCAGAACACACAATTTTCTTTGGGAAAAAGATTTTTGGGAAAACAATTTGAATAGCTCTAATCTGCCTAAAAGTTTTCCTTGTCAACAAATGCTTGGTGTATTCTGTTATAGGACTGTTTGAGAGAAGTGGATTGACACTGCTGTAGATACTTCGTTATATACTGCATTGTCTCTAAATACTGCATGTAGAGCAGGTATTTAGTGAGTCCTCTGGAGGGAGTGCCCGTCCGGTATAGATGAAGGAAAGGTAATCTTTTTCTCTTTCCTCTTTAGAACTTGTTGGAAAAAGTGGCACAGAAAATGCAAGCTCCCAGTAAAATCCACTGGATTGAGAAGGCAAATCATTCCATGGCAGTGAAAGGACGGTCAACAAATGATGTTTTCAAAGAAATAAATACACAGATCTTGTTTTGGATCCAAGAAATCACTGAAATGGACAAGAAATAATTGTCATTAAAAGCCATGTTATTTTGAATAAAAGTATGGTTAATTTGATAAAGAACAGTATACCTCTCAGCATTGTGAGATATATTTCAGACTAATGTTCTTTAATGTTGCCCTATTTTTGAAACATGGTATTGTGGAAATGTCCTTTACAAGATGTCTTTTGAAAGCACTGTTATAGTTATATGAAGATAATGTACAAATATTGAAGGTTGTCTATAATTTATTTTCATTAGTATAGTTAAGTTTTGAAAAATTAAACATTTGCATTTTGTTAAAATGGTGCTTTGTCTTACTCTGAAATACTAAGAAAATGCTTCTCAAAAGAGAAGAAAGTGCTGGCAATATGACTCAGTCCCAAAGGGCTTGTTATACAAGCATGAGTGCTTAAGTTTTTCAAAAGTTTTTTATTTACTTACCTGGGGAGGGGTGCAGGGGTCAAAGGTCAACTTTGGGCAGTTCTTACCTTTCAAGCTTGGTGGCCAGTGCCCTTCCCCTTAGCCATTTTGCCAGTCCCTGAATACAATTCCTAGTACCAATGTAAAGAAGTGGGCACAAGAGCATGCCCCAGTATACCTAGCTCTGGGATTTGATGGCCAGCCTCTGACCAAACCAGCATATTCCAAGGTCAGAGGCAGTATCTTTAAGGTGGATGTGTTGGAACACTTGTTGATCAGAGGACTTGAAACCCTGGACTCAACATAGTCAAAAGAAGCGGAGGGAACGATCGTGGAGGTGCATTTCAAACAACCCTGACTGCTCTTAGAGTGAGGTAGCAACTTTCATAAAAAGTGTACTAAAGGTAAAGCTTTAGTAGTTCGTTGGCAAAAAATGAGTAAAGTACTTGAGAGTTTAGTTTATGAAATCAATAGATTCATTAAAGAGAAAAATGAAAATAGCTAAGTAGTTTGACTAATGTATGCTATATCCAGGTAGAATTAGGGGTTCTTAGACGGTACATAAAATGAGACTAATGATAATTTGTAAATAATTTTAAAATAAATGATTCTATGCTAAATTCTCTTAGTAGCTTGCCTACTGCTCTTTCTAGGCACCAAACTCAGATTGCCCATATCTGTCATTCCTCCTACCCTGGTAGGGTAGATCAGCTTTATTTATTACATTTTTCCACCTTAGCAATGGCATTAAAAAAATGAAAACCTAAATAACTTCAGGTCATTCATATTATAGTAAAAAATCATATATAACTACAATTTCAAATTTTGGTAATCAGTATATATAATATTTGTTGATTAATTCACTTCCTGAACAAGATTTAAAGTTGTTTTTTTCTTTTGGTTCTTTTCTAGACAGGTTTTCTCTGTGTAACAACACTAGGTGTCTTGAAACTAACTTGTAGACCAGGCTGACCTCGAACTCAGAGATCTGCCTGCTTCTGCCTCCCAAGTGCTGGGAATTTAAGGTGTGCCCCACCACTTTGCCCAGCAAGATTTAAGTTTTTTAAATTGGTAAACAGAATGAATATTTAAAATCTTAAAATACTACAGGTGTGAAAACATTGTACGCCCAAAACCAAGCTATCAGAACATAACTTGGTCCATTAGCAACTAATGGCAACGCTGGCAAATAATACAAAGTATAATTTAATTAGAAAGAGCTAGTGATGTAGCTCAGTGGTAGGGCTCTTGCCTAGCATGGATGAGGCCCTAGGTTCAATCTGCACCACAGAAAAATTATGACAGGGAAAGAATGGACAGTACAAAAGGAAGCTTGCAAACCATCTGAATATCAAAGTGTAATGATAAGGTGGGTTTAAAAGGTTAGTAATGAAACTTTTTAAACTTAAACTATAAGTAGAATATAGGCAACTGTACTTGACACGCAAGCTAGAGTTAATCTGGAAGGAAGGAAACTATTGGGAAAATGCCTCCAGAAGATCAGCTGTAAGGCATTTTCTTAGTGATTCATGGAGGAGGGCCCAGCATATTGTGGGTCTTTCCATCACTAGGCTGATGGTGCTGGGATATGGAATATATACGAAATAAAGAAGGAAGGAAAGAAAAGTATACTGAGCAAGCCATAGGGATCAGGCCAGTAAGCATCACCCCTCTGTGTCCTCTGCATCAGTGATGGACTATTAACCTGAAGTGTACACTGAAATGAACCTTTTCCTCCCCAACCTTCTTTTGGTTATGGTGTTTCATCACAGCAGTAGTAACCCTAAGACAGTAATCAAAGATACTACTTTAAACAGGAATAAAAATCATGCAAAAATTAATACCCCTAAGTTGTGTATAAGAAACAACTATGCTGCTTTATGTAATTGCTTGCCATTTGAAAGCCAGAACCTAATTATGATTGATAAAATTTTGTAATTTAGCAGGCTGAAATGAATATTGAAGGAAAGCTCCTGTATGCTTCGCAGCTTATTGCCACATTTAGTGGGAAAGTATACAGTCCCTTGTAGTGTGAACATTTTTTATTGAGCTATATATTTTTTTCCTCTGCTCTCCTCCCATCCTTTTCCCCTCCCCTTCTATCTCTCTCATGGTCTCCATGATCCCAATTTACTCAGGAGATCTTGTCTTATTCTATTTCCCATGTAGAAATCCATGTATGTCTCTCTTAGGGTCCTCATTGTTGTCTAAGTTCTTTGGAATTGTGATTTGTGGCCTGATTTTCTTTTGTTATGTTTGAAAACTACTCATGAGTGAGTCCATGCTTTAATTGTCTTTCTGGGTCTGGGTTACCTCACTCAGTATGATGTTTTCTAGCTCCATCCATTTGCCTGCAAATTTCAAGGTGTCATTTTTTTTCTGCTGTGTAGTACTCCTTATCTGTTCTTCAGTCAAGGGGCATTTAGGTTGTTTCCAGTTTCTGACTGTGACAAATAATGCTACTATGAACATAGTTGAGCACATGCCCTTGTGGTACGATTGAGCATCTTTTGGGTATATACCCAAAAGTGGTATTGCTGGGTCTTGAACTAGGTGGTTTCCTAATTTTCTGAGAAATTGCCATACTGATTTCCAAAGTGGCTGTACCAGTTTGCACTCACATCGGCAATGAAGGAGTGTTCCCTTTATCCCACATCCTTTCCGGCATAAACTGTCATCAGTGTTTTTGATCTTGGCCATTCTTACAGGTGCAAGATAGAATCTCAGAGTTGTTTTGATTTGCATTTCTCTGATGACTAAAAATGTTGATCGTTTCCTTAAGTGTCTTTGAGCCTTTTTAGATTCCTCTGTTGAGAGTTTTCTGTTTAGGTCTGTACTCCATTTGTTTATTGGATTATTCTTTTGATGAGGAATTTTTTGAGTTCTTTGTATATTTTGGAGATCAGCCCTCTGTCAGATGTAGGGTTGGTAAAGATCTTTTCCAATTGTGTAGGTGGCCGTTTTGTCTTGTTGACCGTGTCATTTGCTTAACAAAAGCTTCTCAGGTTCAAGAGGCCCCATTTGTTAATTGTTTTCTCTTCGTATCTGTGCTACTGGGGTAATATTTAGGAAGTGGCCTCCTGTGCCAATGTGTTCGAGTGTACTTCCCACTTTCTCTTCTGTGAGCTTCAGTGTGGTTGGTTTTATGTTGAGGTCTTTAATCCATTTGAACTTGAGTTTTGTGCATGGCTATAGAAATAGATCTATTTTCTTTCTTCTACATGTTGATATCTAGTTATGCCAGCACCACTTGTTGAATATGTATTCTTTTTTCCATTTTATATATTATTTTTTGGTTTTTTTGTCAAAAATTAGGTGTTCATAGGTGTGTGGATTGCTATCTTGGTCTTTGATTCGGTTTCATTGGTCCTCTTGTCTGTTTTTATTCCAATACCAAGCTGTTTTCAGTACTGTAGCTCTGTAGTAGAGTTTGAAGTCGGGGATTGTGAAGCCTCCAGAAGTTCCTTTATTATACAGAATTGTTTTGGCTATCCTGGGATCTTTTATTTTTCCATGTGAAATTGAGGATTGTTCTTTTGAGGTCTGTGAAGAATTTTATGGGGATTTTGATGGGCATTGAATTGAATTTGTAGATTGCTTTTGGTAAGATTGCCATTTTGACTATTTTAATGTTACCTACACAAGAGCATGGGAGATCTTTCCGCTTTCTGATGTCTTCTTCAATTTCTTTCTTCAAAGATTTTAAGTTCTTGCCATTCAGGTCTTCCACTTATTTGGTTAGTGTTACTCCAAGGTATGTTATGTTATTTGTGGCTATCGTGAAGGGTGATGTTTCTCTGATTTCTTTCTCAGCCTATTTATCATCTGTATAAAGGAGATCTACTTATTTTTTCTAGTTAATCTTACATCCTGCTAATTTTCTATTTCCTTTATGTTTCCCAATTTTGTGGAATACAGGTTTTTGAAATATGACCTAATGATTCTCTGGGTTTCCTCTATGTCCGTTGTTATGGCCCTCTTTTCATTTCTGAATTTTGTTAATTTGGATATTCTCTCTCTCCCTTTTGGCTAATTTGGATAAACGTTTGTCTATTTTGTTGATTTCCACAAAGAACCAACTCTTAGCCTCATTGATTCTTTGTATTGTTTTCTTTGTTACTATTTTGTTGATTTCAGCTCTCAATTTGATTATTTTCTGCCATCTAGTCCTCCTAGTTTGCTTCCATTTGTTCTAGAGTTTTCAGGTGTTCTGTTAACTCACTGGTGCAGGGTTTTTCCAGGTTCTTTATGTAGGCATTTGGTGCTATGAACTTTCCTCTTAACACTGTTTTTGTTATGTCCCATAGATTTGGGTATGGTGTGTGGTCATTTTCATTGAATTTTAGGAAGTCTTTAATTTCTCCCTTTATTTCTTCCTGGACCCCTTGATGATTCAGGTGAGCATTGTTTAGTTTCCATGTGTTTATGGGCTTTCTGGAATTAGTATTGTTGTTGAATTCTAATTTTAAGCCATGGTGATCTGATAAGATACATGGGGTTATTTGAATTTTTTTGTATCTGTTGAGGTTTACTTTGTTACTTAGTATGTGGTCAAGTTTTGAGAAGGTTCATGAGGTGCTGAGAAGATGGTATATTCTTTTATGTTTGGATAGAATGTTCTACAGATGTCTGTTACGTCCATTTCAGTCAGAACAACTTATTTCTCTGTTAAGTTCTGTCTGACAGACCTGTTCATTGGTGAGAGTGGGGTGTTGAAGTTTCCCACTGTTAGTGTGTGGGGTTTAATGTGTGATTTAAGCTTTAGAAGTGTTTCTTTTACAATGTGGGTGCCCTTGTATTTGGGGCATACATATTCAGTATTGAGGTTTCAACTTGTTGGATTTTTCCTATGACTAATATGAAATGTCCTTCTTAGTCTCTT